ACCCGTTGCACAGGGCTTTGCAGGGGCACGAGCCCGGAGGAGGACAGGGCTCAGCCAGCAACTCACCTCCCGGGCTGGTCGGGGTATTTGTGTTTGCAGTATGCCTCTAGCGACGCGTACACCTTCTCCCGTAACGCCTCCACTTCAGCTGGGTTGGAGAGACCTTTCGAGTCTGAAAGGCAATGAAAGGACCATCAGCCAAAAACCTGCAGGCTTTCCAGGCCGGCAAGGACCTGCTGTGCACCCCGCCAGCCCACTCCATCCCTCCCAGCACCACCAGACCAGGGCATAGTGCGGATGCAAGGTCTGAACCCCAGGTATTTGGGGCAGCACCTAACACCTCCTGGGGAGCGTTCAAGCCCTGGAAGGTTCGCCTTGTGACTACAGATCTGTTTTACCCCACCCCATGCCCCAACCCCAACCATTTTGGCTCATTCCAGTGATCACAGCATTTAAAGCGTTTAAGTTCCCCTCAAGTCCTGGGGATTTCTCCCTCCAGCACAAAGCCCTGGGACGGGGCTAAATGAAAAGCCCCCGCTCTGGCAGGTCCCCTGCGATGCAGCGAGGATCTGTTTTCAGTAGGGTGAAAGGGACAGTCAAGCAATCGATATCCCCAAGCACATGCGCCATGGGAACCTCTCCAGATTCCCCTTCTTTTACCATATACGGCTAATCCCAAATTACAGACAATAAATTACTGGCGATTACAAGGGGGTGGGGGGAAGTTAAGCAGAAAAACAAACCCAAGAAATAGCAATAAACTCTGCTGAAATGCCCTGGCCCGGGTTCGGTGGGAAAGGCCAGAGAAAGAGCCGTGCTTGGGCACAAACCATGCTCCTGTGAGGGCAAGGAGGGGAAGTGGTGGCCGCAGATGTGGATGTCTGCCCTTGGCCGTCATCCGCTTCTGCTCTGGACTGCCCTGCTCTAAAATCTAGGAGGACCCCCCCCCTCCTGCCAACAGAGCTGTACAGGTATCGGCAGACTGGCAGTCTTATCTCCTGCTGCAACGGGGCTTTGCTCTCTGAAACGTTGGAGACAACCCCCAGCACTGAACCTTCTTCTTCCCTTGGGCAGCTGGGGCCAAGGGGGAAAAGCAAGCAGCACGAAGCCTCCTGGAGTCTGTAAAACTGAGCAAGCCGCAGACAGAAAATAAAGTTCCTGCGTATTTTATGAGCACATTTCATGCCTTTCACCCTCTTCAGGTCCGCAGGGGGCTTTTCCAGAAACGCAGTTAAGAAAAGCCCTTGGATGTTGAGATCAGGAAACAGAGGACAACAAGGTCCATGCTCCAGCTTTGCTCTAATCCATACTTTTGTCTTCAAGGATAGCTGGATTCTTTTTCGCCCTCATTCAGGGACCACCGCCTCAAGCACCAGAACTTTCTCTTTACTGAGTCGCTGTAAAACTGCCAATAGGAAGACGGTGTAAGGTCGACCAAGCCAAAGCCCCTCGAGCTCAGCAGAGAACTCAGCCCATCAGTAGGAGTCAGCTCCAAAAGCAGCCTTCGCCATCTCCCTCAGATGACTGCAGCCCCGCACAGAGAATATTTCGGACCGTGAAACCGTGCTGCCCTCTGCAAAGGGGAAAAGACCCCTTGGAAAGGGAGGCCTGGAGAGTAGCTCTGGGCACAGATCTAGATGCATCCCTGACCTGCAAAGGACATGCTTGTAAGGTGACAGACGCACGTGCAGCACTTAATTTGCCTCTCATTCTTGCCTCTCTTCCTTCTTGCCCTGTCCTCGGGAGCTGGGTGCCCTCAGTTATTTGCAATGGAGCTTTAGAAGCAAGAAAAGGAGCCAAAAGGCCACAGCATCAGCCAAGAGAGGACTGGAGAGAAGGTAACTGCATGTACCGGGGTTGAAGAGGACAATGGCTCGCAGGCAGCCTAGCTCTGTCTTGTCCATCTGCATGTCTCGCATTTTTGACACGAGTTCTGTCAGTACTCTGCAAAGGACACAGAAATCACAGGCGTCAGCGTTAAAAAGGAACGAAAAAACACCCAGGTGTCAGACCCAGAGCGAGGTCCTCCGGTGTGTGGTTAGTGAAGTCATGGGACAGTACTCGCTTATGCCAGCGGAGGATATGCCCTCATTTTCCTCCTGTATCAAAAATAGCTCATTAGGAACATCAATAGTTCCTGTGAGATACAACAGGGACCATAAAAACCGGCTTCGTACGTTCACTGAGAGGCTTTGGCACCTGAGAAAGCTGCCTAAAAATAAAAAATAATAATATAAAAAACCCCAACAACCCAACAGGTATCTAAAAGCAATTTCCTCTGCCGGTAATTTTTATTACTCCCTTTGGTCTTACTGCAGGTGCCGGTCTTGAAATATTTTCCACTGATTGCCCAGTTTTTCCTGTTAGATCCTGCAGTGAAGTCATGATCTTGCACTTGTGACTTCACAGGAAACAAATGACGTCGCCCAGGTCTGAAGAACAATTTCCTTGCAAAGCAAAGAAGCAAAGGCGGTTTGGTTTCAACTAAGCTGCCTCAAGACGAGTCTCGGGCAGAGAAATCAGCCACCATTTAGGCGGTGTCTGGAGCCACGCCGTGGGTCAAGCGCCCTGCAAGTCTGGCTTTAAAACACTTCCCCAAAGCACGAGATTAAAGAGCCCTTGGGATACGCATGTGGAACCTGCTGGGTATTTTTGGTGCTTTTTCATCGTGAAAATAAACTCACGTCTTGGTCCAATTAAAGATGAAAAGAAAGAAAGGAGCGCCCTCCTCGTAACATTAAGAAGGCATCTGGACCCCATGAAAGAGGCTTTGATTTGCGCTGGGCAGCCCTCTCCCTGACTATTTCGGGCTGTCGATAGCTGCAAGTTTAAGGGGAGGGACTGAGGGCCATGGCCTGCAGCAAGGACCATGACATTCCCACGCACGCTGTGGGACGGACATGCCTCAGCCCGGGCTCCTCCGACCACGGGCCGGCGCATCTCCAGCCGACCCCCTCAAGCAGGTTGCCACACGGGGAACGGAGGCAGAGACGGGGATGCCTAGGTGAGGTGGCCTCAGGCGTGTCCCCCACCGCCCGTCCCTCCCCCTGCCCACCTGTCGAAGATGGCCCCGACGCCAGCACTGTGCGCGCTGTTCCGGTGCACGTGGAGCCCGGTGGCTAAGAGGATCCCGTCTTTCACAGCTATGGAGCGGTGGGAGAAGGAGGCGATTAGGAGCTCATTCCACCCTGGGGAGGAGAAAACAACCAAGGCCGCAGGTTAGAGCCACGGGATCCTCAGCGGGTTCGGGAATCGGCGACGGCACAGCCCCGGCGCTAAAAAGAGAGGAGGAAACCACTCGAGGAACCACCTTCGCTAGCGTCATGAGGCTGGACATGGGAAAGAAGCGGGGAGCCAACCCTGGATGTCAGGGAAGGAAAAAACCATTAAGGAACAAATGCACTAAAAATATAACGCTAATAAGGGAAGCCGTTTCCTCTATAAACCTTGCAGGCACCAGAGAAAACAGCTTTCTGCCCTGCTCCTCTCACTGTGAACCTACGAGTGGGTGTGGAGCCCTGCACTCCCCCTCTGACCTCACACTCCGTGCCTCCGAGCAGTTACAGACCTATTAACGCTTTGTACCAGCTAATTGGGCTCATTTTCAGGCCATAATGGGGCACAACAGTTCATTCACCATTATTCAACTGCCACGGAAACTCTCCCTTGCAGGTTTGATGCTTCTGCCATCTAAATACGGAGAGGGATTGCCTCTCCTCTCGCCGGCTGCTGGACAACGATGTCCCACGTCCGCGACTGCTCCACTAACAGCTTTCCTCAGCTGCTTGGAAATCAGCTTTTGTCTTATTAGTTACTGGGCATGCTGCTTCAGGAGAAAGGAAAACACAGCCCTTGAGCCCGGACATCACGGGAGCAGTCTGGGCTAGTTACAAATGGGGAAGGGAGATGCAACCTCCCTCCCTGCCTTCCAGCTCCCCTTCCTAATTTAACATTTCTTCAAACTCTTAAATCTGCTACCCGCTGAGTTCAAGAATGCCCGAAACAAACCTTGTTATGACAAGAACTGCTGTAAAGTTTTGAAGGGTGGAAATTTTGGCGACTTTCAAGCAGGAGAGGCATCTTCAGTAAGAAAAGATGGGTCTTCTGCAACACTCATCATGTAGCTGATTCACCCAGCCTGAAAACGTTCTGGTGTCCAGAACACAGGGCTGCTTGGCAGGGTCCAGAAACGTCAGGATATTTGATTTTTTTTTTTTTTTTTTTCCCAGGTTGGAAAAGCAATACAACAATATCCTTCATCTCCTCTCCTGCCACAGAAACACGTCTTTTCTCACTGACTGGAATAAATACAAGGTCCGTGTGCGCTGTATTTACCTACTGTTGCAGAGGTGGGTTGTGCCATTAGAAATGTTGACAAGGAATAAAGTT